CTGCGGGGAACTCTGCAAAAAACGCATCTTCGCACGGGCAGCCCGTGCGTTGGCCAATTATTTAAAATTTTAGCCAATTCCAAGTCATTTCTTGGGAACTGTTTGGGCGAAATATCGCCTGTCTGGGGCTCTGGCAGCACGACAATATGCTGGATCTGCTGAACAGGTATCTTCAGATTTTTTAGCATATCAAGAGAAAGGCTTAAAATTACGGGGTCTCACACCGGAAATCACTTGTTGCTGTTTTTACTTCTCTTGACACTCCGTCCAGCTCTTCATTCACCGCCGTAATTCCCATTCACCAGATGCAGCCCTGGTAACTTCCCCTTCTGTTTTCTATGGGCCTCTTCCAGCCAAAAGGACCCATATAGCTGCTCAAATGACACCGTCCACCGCATTGACAATCTTTCCTATGTTTTCTGACATTACATAAGTACCATTCAGTAATGCTATTTACTACTGTTACTAATTTTGCAGGATCAGCCGCTTGATTTATCAGTGCCACAGAACATTACGATTCCTCCAGAAAAGCACCAGTGCAATCTGAGAAATACTAATCACCCTCACGAACATCCAGAAACTTCCCACAATGTTGCCAGAGCAGCACAGTCTCCTATCAGCAGTGCGGGAGGGAATGCATCAGTCGTCCGAAGTCCGGTCAGGAAAGAAGAACCGTGTCAGTGCCCGGAATGTGGAAAACAATTGAGAAGCACTGCCGGTTTACACCTTCATCATCTGCGATACCACAGCGTTGAAATGTCTCATGTTTGCAGCGTTTGTTCCCGAAAATGCATTTGCAAAAGCGAACTGGCCCAGCATATGCGAGTCCATTCCGGAGAGCGACCGTACAAATGCAGCGTGTGCAGTGAAAGGTTCGCGCACAGCGGCAATCGCAATCGTCATATGCGAAAACATACTGGTGAAAAGCTGTACACCTGCGAATTCTGTAACATTAGCTTTTCTCTTCTTCATAGCCTGAAAAGTCATAACAAGACTCATTATCGTCCAGCGGCAATGCAAACTTTCTCTAGACATTACTAACTGTATTTTTTTTTTTTTCAAATTTTAGAGGGCTTATTAATTTCCTTTTTCGGTTTTGGTCACTTCCTATAATTGATGGAGAATTTTTAGTACTTTCGCTGTCTCCAGCTGAAAATCAAATTTTTGAAGTGCTGGCACCAAAATACGACTATCAAGATCGCTTGGGTAATTGGGTATGTCATGCTGGTGAGAAGTCACTGACATTTTCCCACACACCTGGTCATACAATTCTGGACTGTGTACCTCAAGTTCATACCCATAGTCTGTTCGATGTTTCTATACCATTTCTTTATTCATCATCCGAGTGGTCAGCGGTCGTTTATTTTCTCGTGGTTGCCATTCACGGCAGAAGATTGCGGTCTTTTCAATTTTCCTAATTTTTCGCTGCAGAAGCTGAAAATTGTTGGGTGAATAGCACATGTTTTCTACAGATTTTAGAGCTAAAAATCTGTTTTACCATTTTTTGGAAGAGACTATGTGCCATTCTGAATGAATTTATAATTTTGCACAACACCAATTTACAGTACTTCATATATGGTGCTGCAATTATTCCGATACTATCTAGGCACCAAAACAACAGAAATACTCAATTCCAGATTGTGCATGCAGTTAGCACAATAAGTCGTCAGCAACTGGAATTTTTTGATGCATGTGCATCTGCAACTGTTATTGATTTCTGCAGCGTTTCGATTTTTTTGAAAGAAATATTACTTAGAATTATAACTGTTTATAGAATGGCGATTTTAAGAGAATATGATTAATAATCCCGTCACTAGTTAGAAGTGTCGTAAAGCGCTTCAGATGTTTTTGTTGTTTCGAGAAACAACTTTGTGTTAGAGATTTCGTTCTTCGTTGTATTTATGCTTTGTAAAATTTGCACATAAGTGTGAGTTTGACAGGCTTACATGTTGTACTGGCAAATAGCACTGCTTTCACACAAAAAGCCGAGGATTAGGCGCCACCGTCGCTTTAACCAACCCCTCTACAGCTTGTTCATTCATTTCGGTAGCAAATTAGTACTAGCATTTGTCAGGTCAACAAAACCGCCATCAGCTCTAGACGGCCCATGAAAGATAGAGCGATCACTATCCATACAAATCTATGGTTATCGACACATGTTACAATCGGATTACCTTCAGATACCTCAGCCTTTCACAGCTAGATAATAGTGGTACGACCATGCATTTTGCGTTCTGTGAAATGGTATTAAAAAGTTCACAAATCTGTACTTGTTCTATGCTAAATTTGAATTTTTCACAGGGCCGTATGTGAGAATCACATACGAGTGGGGGCTGAATTTGATAATTTTAAGTCGCACATGGGCTGGGAACATCCCCTGAAAATTCCGGCCTCCCAGCTTTGCTAGTTCCTGAGCTAGCCAGTTTCTCGCCAAAAAATTTCACGGGGCTGTACGCGGGAACCATGCACACCTGGGGGCTAAATTTGAAATTTTTGAGTTGTATGTGGACGGGGGAAATAACCTCAAAATTTCAGCTTTCTATCTTTTCTCGCTCCCGAGTTATCAATTTTCCCGCCAAAACTTTCACCCTCGTGCACGAGTCCCAAACTTGCGTGAGGGTTGGTACCGCGGCTCCAGGGTGGAACTTCGCCGGGGGGCCTACTAGCAAAATTTAAGCGCTGGAACTTGTTTGGTTGCAGAACTGAAATACCGGGGCACACACACATACACACACAAACAGGATCCTCGCAGTATGCGTTTTTGCAATTTGCATATATGCAAAAACGCCTAAAAATGTAGACTGATCATGTGTATTTTGCATATAAAATGTTTCGGCACAAATTATTACAAGAAATATGTGCGTTCGAAAGTGTGTGTGTGTGTGCGCGCACAAGGAAGCACGACTGTCAAACCCATGCAGACTTAGGTGCATGACAATAGTACTCCACATTGTTTTTTAGCAGAATAATTTTCCATGCTTTGTGTACACTTCAGCTGTGATAATTATCATCTCTGGGTTTTACTGTTCGGTATTTTTCAATTGATTTCTATATAACAGTATTATGACTATAAGTAAAGTCAATGTTTTGGTTATCATATCTCTCCGCCAATCGTGCAGACTTGTTTAATTTATTCGCAACTTTTTGTAATTTTCCGAACTGATTCGCGATAAAGATTAGTGTGCACAAAACACTTTGTAAGCTTCCACTCTTCCATGACTATTATGAAGAGGTCCAGTTTTGATGCACTGAAACGTATGCAACTTAAAGGATCGAAACATCATAATTCGAGGTAACAGAACAAAAAATAGGGTATATTAACAACGTATGAGAGAAGATGGAAAGTAAAACAAAATAAAAGATGAGAATTGCAAAATTTACAAATTGTTTTAATGCCAAGAAACGTTTCGATCCATTAATTCTATACATTTCTTACCACTACCACAATTGGACTCCATCAGTACTACGATTATGGCAATTGAAGTTAATGGGTATAAAGTTTAAATTGTATAATGAATGTTAATAGTAAGGACCATTGTGGGAGAATAGTAATAATAATAAATTGATTAGTGCGATGGGGAAAGTAATATGAAGTAAATATACAAGCTAAGTAAAATTTAAAGAAAGGATAAAGAAAAACGAACAAGAGGACGGGGCAAGAATGGAAGAATCGCTTCTAAACCATTGTTTCTTGGCACTGTAATCATTATTTTTGGGGTTTTTTGGCTTTTCGCTATCCCCGCCATAAAATCCCACCCTCCTTGTCCCTGTTTTTCTGTTCGAGATGTCCCAACAGTAAACAATATGAAATTGTTTCTGTTTCCCCGTCAAAGCAATTTTTGAAACACCTACTGAAGCGCCTTTCGAAGATTAACAGTTTGAGAACCTGTTTGCATCAACACCATGCACCAAAGAGAAGTGGTTCCATGACAAGAAACCGAATTATCCTCATAGTTTCTTATTTCAATTACAGTAGTTGCTCACTAATAGTTCACTTCTTCAACTACGTACCTGGCAAGCTTTTCATTTGCTTTGAACAATGCAGCATCAACTTATGATTAATCTCTTACCGATAATGACGTTCGTTTCGTCTCCTGAAGGGATTGCTAACTCAACCGTTCTCCGAAAAAAAAGGTTACGACAGGGTTCAAGTCATTGCGTGTGAGTGAGTGTGTGTGTGTGTGTGTGTGTGTGTATGAGTGTGTGCGTGTATGGGTGCGTGTCAGTGGGTGTATATGAATGTGCATCTAAAGCTGCGTGTGTATGGATGTGTGTCTGTGGATGTCTCTGTACGTATGTTATGCCGATGTGAGCTTGCATGAAATAGAAGAATGAAAGAATTTTACCTGAATGTCATATGTACGAAGACATTTTATGATGCAGTCTGTGTTTCATCCCTTAGCTGTATACACAGACCGAACTATGCGTGCTAGTACGAGCGGGAATCATATGCGTGCGGGTTGGATGGAAAATTGCCTTATCCCTTCAAAGCCTGTCACGGGAAAGAGGCTAATCGAGGAAAGTAAAAACGAGGTTCACCGATGGAATGTTCTGACAACTATGTGTATAATCATTTACGAATGCAACGATTTTGAGGCTTATCAAACGGATTTTTAATATCCATAAAATTTCAAATTACAACAACCGATTAACAATGGGAACAAATTTTTTCTTGCTTAGCGTCTCCGTCCACGGCGAATTTCTTTTGCTTTTGGAGGCAAAATAATTCCATCATACTGCAAAATAGTCATAAATCATTACAGTGAATTTTATAAATTTGAAAAATCTCAGGCATCGTCTCGTAATTTCAACAGCATCAGGATGTGAGGGAGCCCAAAATAGTGAAGAATGGATAAGTCGCCAACTGCATCAGTTGTGAAAAGGAGCGCGTCTACATTTATGCAGTTCAGATTCGCTAAGCATTGCGATCCAACATTCCAGGTGCAGTACCATGCCGATTCGATGACAGCAGTGAGAGAGCGGCAATTTGAAATTCCAGTACATTGGGCACAAAAAAGCCCTTCAAAAAAATCAGCACTGGTACCAGTTTCTCTGTTGCAAAAGGAAGAAGGTGCTAGCGACAAGGAAACGAAGATGGTGGCTGAACCCCTTTCGCCTTGCTCAGTTGTCCTTCGGTTCCCTGTGATATGCAAATGTCCCGTCTCCTGACTCGATTTCCCCTTCCATGATATTTAATATGGTGATTAGAAATGAACTAAAAAGCTGATCTTTGGTACTAAAAAAGTTGTGCGGCGGCACCTTGCAGCTGC